ACACTTTACGACATCAATTGTAGCTACGGATACCAAACAACGGAAAAAACAACATCCTAGCTAACCAGAACGGGTGAGGTTTTCCCACGTTTGATTCATGAATGGTAATGCAGCGATCAACGGGAGTGGTTTAAAATTTCATGAACTACGTATTACCAAATAACAAATAAGATAAAATAAAATAAGATGAACAAAAAAGGAAGGAAAAGATAACAGCAAGACTGATTTCAAGTCAGCCAGTTTTCATGTCGCCAAGTAAGGGATAGGAATCAAGCCACTGCTTTGAGTGACTTTAATAGCTTTTTTCACAATTAATTAACTTTCCATTTACATTACAATATAATCTAGCATGTGTGTGAGGCAATTTCGTGCTATTTTGTAGTTTCAGCCTAAAATTGCCTTGCATCCACGTTGGATTGTATTGTAATGTAAATGACCAAAACTAACCGTGGGAAGGGCTATTGGTGCGTAACGATCGGGTATTTTATCTCAAAAGGCCTCCTTTCATAGCAGACCATAACAGCATGTACAGCTGTAAAAAAGAAAAAAGAAATAAACTGGACAAACAACCGAAATTTACACCGTCAAAACTCTCAGCCAATAAAAATATGCCTGCACATACTAACGTTCAACAAGTATTATAATTTTTAAGTATTTTATTAAAATAAACTAAACAAACATTATTTCAGGTGTCTCGGTATTATTAAACCTGATTCTTGAGTATTTGTATTTTCTCTCTCAGGTGGGCAGTCTTTTAAACTTTTAAGACAGAAATTAAAATTTTCAATCAACTGATAACTCAGGAAAAATTTTCGAGGGAATTTAATTTTGAGGATTGATCATTTTTGCGTTGTAGAACTAATTTATTAAAATAGGGAAAGGCTGGTCTTTCTTGCCGGTGGGGATCGACTTTTTGGCGATTTTTAGGCTGTCGCGTTGATAAATTTAAGCGAATGCAAATAAATAAAAAGATTCCTTGGATGCCGACCTATTCTTTTTCTAAAAACTTGTCGAAAGTAAAGTTGTTCAATTATTGTTAGATTGTGAATAGCTTTTACGTTTTCACGCTATTCCCGGTAGCATATGCAGTATCAAAATTTCCCAACGTTTGAACCTAAAAGGGCTCTCAAGCTAAGAGAAGTGTAGTGTTTGTTGGGTTGCCTGTGGCAGCCTGTGACAAGTATTATGAGATAGGTCTTGTGGTTAGAAACATGCGGGCGTGAAAATGGCAAGAGCGAGTTATACTGTCTTCAATGCGGCTTAAAGGCGAATAAAGGAGTGTTAGAACAAGGAACAAGGAAACAGGAAAGACCGGGCAGAGGAGGAAGAAGAGAAAGAAGAGGAAGACGAGATAGACGGAAGAGAAGGAGGAGGAAGAAGAAGGAGAAGAAGAAGAAGAAAAAGAAGAAGAAGAAGAAGAAGAAGAAGAAGAAGAAGAAGAAGAAGACAAACTGAAAGGTACCTCTGCAGTCAATGAGAATTTTTTAATGTAAGTAATGACAAACTATGAGATACTCTTCAAGATGTAAATTGATATAGGAAAGAGATTGGATGCATTAACAATGTGCCATCATTGTTCTTCACATCTTCCAACAGCCGTCCAATACATAATATCAAATTATATTGTTTCTAAATACAAGAAACTTAGGCTCGAAAATGGATTCCGGTCGTCATTTTTTTAAAACTGAGACTTGCAAACAAGTAACTGGAAACAGTCAGAGCAATGTCCGGCTGGCGAGTAAATAGGTGCATACTAAATAATCAACCGTTTTTGGACTTTAATCCAAATGTCTGGACTTTAGTCAATTAAGATTCACTCGGTTTTATTGCCCCAATAGTTTTTCCGAAACTTTTAGAACCTCCTTATGTTTACATATAATTCCCCAGCTAGTTTAGAAAAGTAACCATTCGAACTGAGTTTAACTGATTCCAGTCCGAAATGTTGTTTGCCTGGGACATCGTTACGAGAAAATGGCTCTGTTAGGTATGACATAAACCAAAGATTTATCTCCAGCATACAAAGATTTATCACACTGTATCTCGTCATTCAATGTCTATTACTAGGGTTCTTTTTGTTGCATTCGTCGACAATCACACGGCAAAGTCGGCAGGTATGGCATAGTGGTTAGCATCATTCGAAGTGACATCTTCACCGCGCATGTCCACGCCGGTTTTGGCAGCTACAGCCAGTAGAATGTTCCGCTGATCATGGATCGTGTCGATGATTACCTTCAGCCGTTTCTTGGTCTTCGCCAGTTCCTTAGCAAGCTGGCCAAGTCTATCTTCATCCTCGTTTCCAGATATTTGCTCTTCTTTGTCAAGGTCTCCGTCTTCAAAGGAAAATCTTCTGTGGATAGCAAATATAGAGGTTGTTTTCAAAACAGTGCGTGAAGATATGATTAGATAGACATTTTAACAGCCTGATCTAACAGACAGAGCCACAGGCCTGCCTCCGAGTTGCTGTTAAGAAGCTTTGAAATATCACAAACTTCATGCTTATAAAGGAGCAAGTTAAATTCCTTTACCTTTATTACTGAACCAAAGTTAAATGGTGAAACAAAATGGGTATATTAGTTCATTTCTGTCTTTCACCGAGGACCATCAATCGCAAACGAAACGAACCGTTATAGGGTTTTCCACAATCCTACACAGATACTCACCGTGACAAAATCTTCTTTTCCACATAACGTCCAGTTATCACCAACTGAGGCTTGTGAAAACGGCGTGTGATGAATTTTGGAAAGTTTCTCTCAACTCCGAAAACGAAGTCAATGAACTTTCCTTTATTCCTCAGAAAAGCATATTTCTGTACTGATTCAATGTCCCCCACGGCTAAACCGACCTGTGAGAGACATACAAGTGCGCAGTTATTGAGAAATATGAGAGACATACAAGTGCGCAGTTATTGATCACCATGGACAATTAGTGGAAAATGGCGCTATATAAATGTATATTTATTTATTTATTTATTAACGGTAGCCTTTTAAAAGGGCATTGTGATGTCATTGTGATCTCAGAAGTAGACTAACTCTTTGAAAGTAAATGAAGTCATACTTCAGTCGAACGCGAAAGTTCATAAAAAGTACAACTAGTGAGAAACGTTTTTGAGGGTACATATTTCCCATCAGGTGGGTAAAAAGAATAACTATTTTAACATTTTGGAGACCTATTGTTCAATTTGTCTTTGAGTTCCCATGCTCCGGTTGCCTTATTAATTTAGCAGCTTTAAAGTCTTAAGGGTTAGTGGTGGAATGGTTGGGCTCCTAGTTACCACTGAATAGATTTGTTCTTTCCGATCCCGAATGAAACTCCTCCACGCTATGCGTAAATCACAGCCTCCCGACAGTTAGGATTTGTAACAAGTTTCCGTTGAATTTTACTTGCTTGTTCATTATGTGTGTGTCCCGACTACGTAAACCATTGGTAAATACTTAGATACTGCAATATAGTCACTAATGTTTTCACTCTCAATCTATTTACTCACCAAAAGGTTCATAAGAACAATAGGCATGGCAAATATGAAGAGGCACAGGAAGATAAACGATGATTCTCTGTAAGGTACAAGATGCGCATGAGATACTGGATCCTTTTGTTCTAGGCTGTCCACCAACATAGTGGTATAATCTAGCTCGCCAACAGTCATCACAATCACCTTCACTAGCGTCAAGAAAAAGGTGTCGAACGCGTCCTGAAAAATAGAAAATGAATAGACCATTGCAGAATTACTTTAGCCTCTTTCTCAAAGCGAGTCTTGGTCCCTATCCTTTCATGTGGATCATTCATTCACGTGCAAATTAAACTCATTTTCAAATAAATGGTTGTGTACCTGACCTCACTTTGATAGAGAGGCTTAGGGCAACTCGGAAATGGGCTATTTTTATATCAGTCCAACAGCGAGGCAAGGCAAAAATTCGCTGCTGAGTTCTAGCAAACTGACTTATACCTTAGACGTTCTACACACAAAAACAGAATTTTACCTGCTCCCTGAAGAGTATGTAGAACACCACTGAGAAGGCAACAGCAAACAGCATGAAAAGACTGATGGTTTTGAGCACCGTCATTGCTACTTGAAAAAACATTGTCACGTAGATGCCAACATGATCCAAAGTCTGTGCGAACAATATCAGGTTACAATAGCCCAAGAAAACGGCAACTGCTCCTATTTGCCAAGTGACCCTCGTGTCACCTCGAAGACTTGACAGGCCTCTGGACACGTAAGGAAGTATGAAAACTATGGTTGACACGTAAAGGACCCATTCCAGTATGTTTGTCCACTCTTTGAAGTACGCTGCTCGTTGGAGGCATATCTGGTAAAGCTCTTTGGCTAGATGTAATAATGCAAATACCAGGATGAGATATGGGACTATTTTATGGAGTGCTTCTTTCTGCTCGAACATGCCATCGTCATCGTCTTCATCGTGTTTGCGCTTGAGGACAACCTTTTTCCGCTTATCCAACATGAAGAACGTCATCAGAAACAGGTATAATGAAAATATGGCAAGGTTTGTCCAGTAAACGAACCATCCATAACTGCGCCACTTGATCTTGAGAAGTTTTCTGCAAAGATCATGCACCAGGAGATCCTTTTGTTTGTACCTCACCATAACCATGAGGCCGAAGAAAGGCTCCTCGTTTGGTCCACTTTGATCATCAGGGCCTGGATCGAGCAGACGAAAATCATAGTCAATAGAGCGTTTGGTCAGAGACCTCTGGATACAGCGATCCATGACGCACTTGGCAGCATCTGGGAACCGTTGAATTAGCTTCCCCATTCGATTCTGACCATCAGGGCACTTCGCTGACAAGATCTCTCTCCATCTAGGAACAGAACGAAGCAAGGTATCACCATATGTTTATTTTGGCATGTGAAATAATCAAACATCAAAGTGGTCTTCAATGGTTGGCCAACAATCTAACAATTATATCGTATGCTTGAAATAACTAAAATTTTGCTTTCACTTGCAGTTCAATGCTCGAGTTTTTAGCACACAAATCAAAGCTAAACCGTGCAAAACTGAGTTTTAACTAACATTACTACCCATTTATACTCTAATCACCTTGAAACGATCTTAATAAACACAAATTAACATAGCATCAAGAGCGATCATCTCGTTTATTAATACAGGATATATCAGAAAGAAAATAAAGCAGTTAATAAAGAGAAAATTAAAAAAGCAAAGTTGAAATAGCTGCCGTTGAGTGGCTCTTGCATAACTTACAAAATCCTAAATAGCGTACTAGCCCCTTCGGGATTCATGCCTGCAAGCACGTCTAAAATACTTCTACCGTTAACACGAATCATACATAACGAACATACACCAGTGTAATTAGCAAAACGTTACAAAACAAATTTGTGAGGTCTTCATTGAAGAAAAAATTGCACATGCAAGAGGTGTATGAACTTTCTTATTTACCTATAATTATTAGTAATTGCCATGACAACGTCTCCCTGTTGATTCTCAATGGCCACGTCCAGGCAGTTAAGTCCATTTTCATTCGCCTTCAAGCTGGCTTGTCGATTTAGGAGGATCTTTACAGCTTCCACTTGACCACACGCGGAGGCAATTAGGAGTGCTGTGTTCCCTGTTTGATCTTGCTGATCGATATTGGCCTTCAAGTCGAGAAACATTTCAATTAAGCCACTGGCACCTATCTTAGCAGCAAATATCAGAGGCGTCCAGCCGTAGGCATCAAGACTGTCGACTTGTGCACCCATTTGGACAAGGATTAAACAGATTTTCCTGCAGAGAAATAAAAGCTATAATTCTCCAAATCACTGAGTGCAATTAAGGCCCTAATTTCTCTAAAGAAAAGGTTGCAATTTATGTAAATCGTTAGCACTTCCCTTCGAAAACTGAGTGAAGAAACCTCTACAGAATGCAATTACTGAGTGCAAACTTAGCAAAGCTAATCTTGCTGAAATTCAGTATATGACTGCTTGCATTGACCGCCTTGTTGCCTTACTGTTTTCCATTTAACGCCGCGAAATGAAGCGGTGTTCTGTTTTCTAGGTCCTTTTGACAAACACAGGTGATGGAAGCTTTGGTTAGAGCTTCAACATGGCGGGCCTTTCCATTTTCAGCAGCTATGTGTAATGGCGTATTTCCAGCATCATCTCTCAGCAAAGGGTTCGCTTTCTTTTCCAACAAAACGCTCAGAAGCTGAAAAATTAGACAGAAATTCAGTTAAAAGCCTCGCTCAATGACGTATTTAAGTCATTTATCCTCAGGTTGGTGTGATGTACTTGCATTAAAACGAAATCAAGCTGATCTTACCCTTATGTTTGTAGCTGACGCGGCGTAATGCAGGGGTGTTCTTTCATGTACGTCAGGAAAATTTATAATTCCTGAACCACATCTCTCCAGCAAGAGCTTTAAGACGTCTTCCTTGTCGTTTTCTACAGCAAGATGAACACAGCATCTCTGGTAATTGTCACGAGCAGCTATCTCGGCACCGGACTCGAGAAGCATCTTGGCACAGTTTGCATGACCAGCGGCTACAGCACAGAGAAATGGCGTCATACCGTCGGCGTCCGAGGAATCTATGAACGCGTTGTTCTTGAGAAGAAGCTCGATGCATTCTGGGTTTCCAAACGAAGCGGCACTGAAAAAACGCAAAGATAAAGCAATATTTTATTGGTCACAGGCAAAAGAGGATGAGAGTTAACACCTCATATAGGTCTTATTCTCAAAGTAAACGTCCGTTACCTTGGACAAAATTTAGTGGCAAGAAACTAGAAAAAAGATGCTTATGTGCCCTCTGCGGGCTGTTGGTTATTGTTCAGCCACTAAATTCTAATCAAATACTCATAATTCGGCGTAGAAATTTCGAACAAAAGAACAGCATTAATTCATAGTTTCTGATTCCGACCCGTTTCTTCAAACAGAGCTAGCGACAAATGCTTTGAAGAATTGAAAGTTATGAAACCAAGCAAGTTTACCTTGCTTTAAGAAGAACTACTCCTTCAGTTTCCTGTTCTATTTACAGTGTCCTTTTGTGCAAAACTCCAGCTCTTGTGATCCTACCTGTGTAGCGGAGTTCTTTGGTTACAATCCTTCGTGTTTGTTTCTGCTCCTCGTTTGATGAGTAATTCCAAAATCTCTTTGTTTCTTCCATTGGACACCACATGCAAAGGAGTCTGATGGTGTTTGTTTTGAATGTTCACGTCAGCACCATGCTGCAGGAGGACCTGACAGATGGACACGTGACCTTTCTGAACGGCTATGTGAAGTGCTGAGTTCTGGTTTGCGTCTTGATTGTTTACGAACTGTCCGAATTCTAGATGATCCTTGGTCGACCGCATAGCGCTAACTGGGTAACTTAACGTATTCCCCAAAGCTGAAGTGAAATTCAAAAACGACAACAACATAAAAAAAGATGCAAAAACTCAGCAACATGAGAATTACAACACTTTTGTGAACTTCCTCTTCTGTGATACTAGTTTATTTACATGTAGGAGCCACGAATATGGCAATGATGCATCATTAAATAATGAAGGCTGGCCGGGATGGCAGCCTTCCCCCCTGCCAGCCTACCAACCATCCAGCCTGCCAGTCCGCTTGCAAGCCGGTCAGTCGTTCAGTAAAGAATGTTAATTAATTGTAATTAGTCTTTAGAGAATACTATTGGGAAGTGCAATACGGCTAAGATTTGTATCAATCAGACGTCCATCTCTTACCAGTCTGAAAAATCAAAGAAACAATGTTGATGTTGACCGCGTTTGTCGCCAGATGAAGACAAGTATGTCCCTGTTTTGTGCTAATGTTAATACTGGCTCCATTATCGATGAGATATCTACAAATATCCTCGTATCCTCGACTGATGCCTATGTGAAGAGCAGTCATTCCTTGCTGGTCCGTTGCGTCGATTTCCAGGTTTTTCGCCTTGAGCAGTCGTTCGACTGTCTGTATGTGGCCAAATTGCACCGCAACATGAAGAGGGGTACAACCCTTCGACGAGGATGTGACGTTTGGTTTGGCTCCCTTCTTCAGCAAAATATCGATGGCTTCTAGAGCATTAGACCTAAGTGGCATCATGAGAGAGAAGGACGGAAATTAGCATTACTTAGTTACATATTTAATTGGCTACTAATCCCTTGAATTCTAACCTTTTTGTTCAATGCCTTACCTCATATGCAAGGTCGTTTACCTATAGATCCGCTATCGAGTCGCATTTAACTACAATATTGTACTAGAAGAAAATATTTAATTAAAAGGGGACCTTCTCAGTATTCGAGGTCTTTTTTCTCACACGATAAAATAAGTATGACCAGCGGAAATAAACAATAATAAGAAGAGTAAAGTACTTATTGTGAGCTCTTTCATCTTTGTGCTCGAGCCCATACGATCTTATTGAAACGTCGATTTTAACGATTTCTAATGTTTCCCAAAATCAGAAATTGATGTTCTTTGTTTTAAAATTCATTGGCGTCACCAGTCATTTTGTCTATAATTGATGATCGCCAAAACTTATCAGAAATTGAATGTCACAAACTTGTGCTTGTGATTCGCTGGCCAATTTTGTTTTAATTTCTACTCTCAACTTTCTATTAATTACACATCACAATTGGTTCTTCCAGCTCAAATACACAGTAAATGTAGAAGCAAATCAAAATAATGCAGTATTCATTTGATAATGAAATGAAAAATGAAAATGAATTCGAATTTAAAAATTTAGCATCAACAACTGAAAACGTTTTAGAAAATGCATTGTCAAATAATATAGATTCAAGTTATTATCTCAGTGTAAACGGAATGTGGTGAAGTGTAATGTATTTCGAGATATGAAGTATAACTTGAATGAATGTTTTGTTAGTACTGTGACAACTTGGAAACGTTCATTTTGTTGAATGTGCAAGTTAATTATCAACAAATTTTATAAGTATACCTTGAACGTTTGAGGAAATTGTTTCTTTTTAAACTCCTGGATACGCGAAGCGTAGAAACGTGTTTCTTGTGGGGACTCCGATGTGCAAATATGTCACTCACTCACTCACTCACTCACTCACTCAGGTGTAGACACTGTTCGTAATCAGTCGGCCCGAGGGAGAGCGCCCGAGGCCGACGCCATGTTGGAATAGTAACCGAGCCCGACGTCATATTGGAATAGTAACCGTGCAGTCAGCGCGAGCCTCGCTATCGTTTTTGCGCGGTTACTACTCAAAGGATGCATCGTGCCAGCCCGAATTGATGA